ACACACACACACACACACTGGTAGCATTGGTCTTTTATTTATCAGGGGTAATGATGAAATGAAGATAACAGTGAATGCTCAAGACCCTTCAATTTCTGCAAATACTCCCAACTTGTGGGCAAGCACCCAGAGCATCCGGAGAAAATCCATGTAGGTAAAAAAAATAATAAAACAAAATGGCCCATGGCTTTGACTTTCAGTGGCTGAAGGTAACTTGACAGTTTGAATTCTCATATCTGCACCACAGACATTTTGACTTATTTTCTCTCAGATAAGATTGTTTTGTGGACATTCCAGCCTGGTTTTCCCGTCATTTCTACCTCCTTGTTGTGCTGCCGACCAGCACGTTCTGTGCTCTGTCCTTCCCTTCCCTCTCTGACGCTCCAACATACGATACGGTGAAGATGACAGGGAGAAAATGTGCGTTTGTACGGTCTCATCGTGATTCACTGTGTGTAAATGTGATCCTATCTCAGTATTTTGGGCCAAAAGAGCCACTTTCACTGAAAAATATCAACATTTGAGAAATGTTAACTGGAATTTTGTGTTTCCATTTGGTGTAGAGCACACAGTGTTAGCCTGTGTTATTGTAGTCCCTGACTGTTGACACACACACACACACACACACACACACACACACACACACACACACACCACATTGGAGTTGGGTGCACTACTTTTTTCCTCTTCATAAACTAATAAACCAGTCTGTGTGAAAATGTACTTTCAATGTACAATTACCTAAGTTTATCTTGGCCAAAAGTTGAAACATAAGGATAGACTAAGTAGACTTTTAGTATGTTTTTAGTATTAGCCAGGTGGTTAAGTATATCTCAGAAACGTACCTAAAAAGTAAACTGGAAGTATACTTTTTATTTTTAGTTTAAAGTTAGTATACTTACAGGATATTTGCATATTGGTAAGGGATATGTTGTCGATGACTCCGCTACCACCACACCAAATTTCTTCTTCTTTTATGTGTTTTTTTACAGCCTGACTGCGGCGGCCATTTTGAATTGAATGGCTTATGTTTTAGGAAATAATCTGACAGAATAAAATAGGCACCAAATTGTAGCTCAATATTTGTAAAATTGACTGAGGTATGGTCATCGACAGCCTATGTTTTCTACAGTTATTTGGCTGTAGAGGTCAGGAGGTACATCCAGAGATGACTTGCTGAAAGTTTTGTGGTTTGTGAGATATTTTGTTAACAAACAAACCAGGTTGACTCCACAAGGTTTTGCTTAAGTTTGATATAAAAAAAAACTTTAAGTATGTTATGGGGATGACTCTCAGCTACAAAAACAATGTTTTATATCTACAGGAGTTACTGGATTTTAGCCATTTTTGTTTTCTAATTAGCTATAGTGGCCATTTTGAAGATGGTTGTGGTAATCTAGACAATTTATTTAAAACAAATCTCATGTCATCAGTTAGCACTCATGCTGTTGGAATGGTGCTCAGCTACTACCACACCAATTTTAGCAAAATATCCTAAAAGATGACAAAGTTTTAAGATTTTTGGTGGTTTTTTTTTGTAAACTCAGGATATTTTGCTAACGCTGCAGGCTAAAGACATTATCTCCTCTCACCTTGAGGAAAACAAACAACTCATTGGAGGCAGGCAGGTGTGATAATCCAATTGAGGTCAGAAGTGGGGAGGGAATAGACTTCACAAAATAAAACAGGAAGTAACATTGAGAGCACAACACTAACAATTTTCCCTTAATTAGCAAACGTTAATGTTTGTGTTCAAAGTAAATTTTCTTCTAAACAAACCTGCAAACAAAAAGTGATGATTATATTTATCATATCTGAATGAATCAAACATTTCGCAGCATTGTGTTTACAAGATGGCTCCTGGTTTGTTCTCTCGCAGGCTGAGGCTTGAACATAAATAAATGCATAAATATATATTGTGATCACACAATTCTTCGCTTTCTTCACCTTCCTGATGTATTTATTGAATCCTCTGTGTGTTTACTCAGC